CGAGACCTCTGCGATGCATTTGTTCCCTTTCACCTCAACATCTGCAGCGATCTTAGTTTGACGTCATGGGCCTTTCATCTCTAAAAGACCTCTTCCTGTGATATGAAGAGTGAGGAGGAAGACGCTAGCTTACTCAGAAAACAAACGTTCAAAAACTAGATCCAGTATAAACACGGTGCTATCTGTTATCAGCTGGGTGTTAGACTCAAACAATCATGAGCTGTCCTTTGGGCATGAGCATGTAAACATTTAAATGATGCTTCCATTTAAAACTCTTGTGGAAAAAAAAAAAATCTACTTCTCAACAGTTTTGTCACATCTTTATCTAAAAATGGAACACAGGAAGTGCAGACTGAACACAGCTGTTTGTGTTGAGACATGCGTTTCATCTTGAAACAGATGTTTTCTGGCTCTGAACTTCTCTGTGCGTCACCTCACACCATGTTTCAAATAAAGAAAATACGTTTCTGTCAGCAGACGCCTGCGAGGTCGTGGACATCGAATGATTATTATTAAAATCCATCAATAGATTGCATTAAACATAGAAGCTAATGTAAAATACTTTTACATTCTCCTAAATGTAGGATGTATGGTTTCAGTCGAGTCCACTCGGAAACATGAAGCAACGGGCTGGAGCCACCGAGGGACAGAGATCAGCTTCACAGCAGCCTGTTAAAACAGAAACTGAAGAGAAAACACATTCTTGTCGAGCTGCCCTCAGACGCCCTGGTTTTTGCTTTGTCAGTGTGTTTTTTAAGGTGGTGTTTTTCACTTGAATCCTCCCACGGGGTATGAGTGTGGGGGTGGGGGACATCACACACCAGCAAACAGAGGTGACATTAAAGTGCTGTCAACGCTCAGGATGAAAACATGAGGAAACTTCTTGTCTCGGTCCTCCTTCTTGCTCTCTTTGTGCACAGCACGTACCAGAGAAAAGGTAAGAAACGCTCGTTAAACATCAGTTCTTCGTGTGAATCTGAGTTTAGTTTAATTTTTAAGTTAACGCAAAATATTTTGAATTTTGTTCGGTTCTCATTAGAAAAGCAATTTAAAGGCAGAAAACTAATAATTAGACATAGTTATAATTCTTTTATGACCAGGTGTCTATTTTAATAAAACTGTAGGTGTGTCTCAAGAGAACATGCAAAATATTTTGTGTTAGTAAATTTCACAATGGAACACAGTAAACATGTCAAATGTTTTCAAACTGTAAGAAAGAACATGTACCATAAAAAGGTCATTTTGAATTTTGTGGCAGAAACACATCTTAAGGGTCAGGGGCATGACAAGGGTGTGCAAGTGGGACAAAGAAGAAGCAACTGGAGGAGGAATGAGGTTCGTTGTGTTGACTGTCAACAGGTCAACAAGAGGACTGGGGATAAAAAAAAACATTTTCGAGAAGTTGAATATCTCAGAAGTAAAGATGGGCACAGGTTCACCAAAGGAAAACAGAAGAGCAGAACAATTTCAAAATGATGTTTGTTAGAATTTTGAAACTGATTCATGAAATCTTTTGAATTTCTTGGCTCACGGGACAACCAACCATCCATCCATCCATCCATCCATCCATCCATCCATCCATCCATCCATCCATCCATCCAC